AATCAAAACTAAAACTGCAAAGATAGGTAGCACAGAAAATTCTTTGCATCTAGTATACAATCACATACACATTTCAGAGGAAAGTACTCTGAAATCTTTTAATTACCAGATAAAATAGTAAGTTTAAAAAGTTTCCCAACTAAAGTAGGAAAGAAAAAAAAAAAGCCATAAAATTGATAAAATTCAAAACCTACTTTTTTTCAGGAGGTGAGAAAAGTTAGCTGGGGGTGTAGCTCAGTGGAAAAGCATGTGCTTATGAAGTGCAAGCCTTTGGTTAAATCCCCAGAACTAGAAAAAGAAAAAAGGTAGCCAAATGGCACCCCACCAATTTTTACAGTTACTATTATCTCATCCTTTACAGAAAAAGTGTGGCAACCCTTGGCATAAAGGAAAGAAGACTCAATTCGGTACAGTGTAATGCTGACACGAAACAGCACACAAACACACACAGGCATATATGGAGACCAGTTTTTACATAAACTAATACAAAAAACTCCCAAGCATAAAGGTATATGTTTTTTAAAAAAAGGCCATGAATCCTAAATACTAGTATGGGATGTGCAAAATACAAGGCTATATGCAATCTTTGCAAGATGGTATATGATAAAAATTTATAATACAAGTCAGTCGTTAAATGATTCATATTTTGAAACTTGTTTATTGAACACCTATTATAGCAGGCTATCCATCCTGTCTGTAGTTTCACTTTGCATAGTTTATTACCAGCAGTCAACTTTGATTTAGACATCAAACAAAATCAGAAAAAGTAATCTACAAACACATATTCCTAACTATCTGAACAGTCAATGAACATTTATCACATCACTCATTAACCATCCTTTGCAAAGGTTCATATACCAGTAATTTTGGTGCACCGGTTTGTAAACCTAACTCACACTCGTAACACTGTTTCCAAGGGAAAACATACATACTTCTCTACTGTATACCTCTGAAAATAGAAACTAATGTTCCGTTAAATCCTGTAGGAGTCATTTCACAGTCTTTCTGAATTACAATATGGCAAAGTAGTGTCAGTGGCGCATGCACTCGGGAGGCTGAGGCAGGAGGATCACTGAGTTGAGGCCAGTCTGAGCTACAAAGTGAGTTCAAGGTCAGCCTGAACTGTACAATTCTGTCTCAAAAAGACTAAATAAACAAACAAATACTCTAGCAAAGTGACCCTCTGTAGCAGTGATGGCAACCCTATGGCATGCATGTCACAGTGGGCTGTTTGTTTCCACTGAAAGCTCTAAAGGGTTCGCCGTCACTGCTCCACAGGTTACAAAGACAATACGGCTTCCCTAATGCTGCAATAATATTCACCCAACCACATTTTTATAACAAATATGCACTGAGGACAACTGTCAGATGTTGTTAGATGTTAGGATATATTATCAAAGACTCAACTGGATAAATGGATTGCAGAAGACAAAAAGAGACTTTGATGGATGGTAAAGTCCAAAAGATCTGTCTGAACAAGAAACGACTGAGAAAATCCACCAGTAGTTGTCAACTCAGGCTGCACAGGTATACAGAAGCCATAAAAAATTTTGCTTGCCAGGGCCCAATGCTAGACAAATAAAACAGAATTTTAAGCAGAATTTTCAGGGCCAAGACAGCAACAATATTCTTTGGAAAGCTACCCAAGTATGTTTAAAATACAGTCACAGTTGAGAACCAGAGCTTGCTAGGGTAGTTTAAGAAGCACTGTCCTTGAGTTTATTCTAAATGCCATGGAGACCACAGGAAGGAGTGAACAACTAATCAAAAATCTAGTGGTTACCGGGCGTGGTGGCACACGCCTGTAATCCCAGCACTCGGGAGGCTGTGGCAGGAGGATGGATGCAAGTTCGAGACCAGCCTGGGCTACACAGCGAGACCCTGTCTCAAAAAGACCAAAAAAAAAAAAACAACCAAATCTAGTGGTTGCATTCATATAAGCAGATTCTAAGTAGCAATAGTATAATTTAAATAATTCAAAGGCCCTTGAACAACAAGCTCAGTAAGCGTTTGTCTTTAGCTTGCTAGCTTCTGACAGAAAAACTTAGCACAGTTATAGGGCAAAGAGATGTTATCTTCCACCTGTACCACTTCTAATTCTGAAAGAAGTTTCTCCTACTTCTACAATGCTACTGATTTTTCTATATTACCATCTTGCTCAGTGCCATGTACATTTAAAAAAACTAGCATTTCCCACTTATACTAGATATAACAAAACAGGTATCCACATTTTCAAAATTCTAACAACAAAAATGCCTTGTAACAGGTTGTTTTTTGTAGAAAAAAAAAGAAATAAGGGGGAAATGCCACCCTTTTTACAGCAAACAGATCATTTCCAAAAAGTCTGAAAGAAATATAGAAAGCAGTAGTTTGTTATAATATAGCAGCAACCTTTCAAAATGAGAGGATGACACTGAACAGTGGTAACAAAAAAAATGGTTTCAAAAAAGGACAGGTGGGGGCTGGGTATTTAGATCAGCGGCACAGCACCTGCCTGGCAAGCCCAAGGTCATGAGTTTGATTCCCAGTACCGGGGTGGCAGGGGCGGACAGGTAGCACGAGTTTAAGGTCTGTACAGGAAAAAATGCAAGGCTTCTATCTCTATATGCTTTCTCTTTTGGTCATTTCATCTACAGCTCACTGCTTCAAACATTAACAGTAAAGCTAATGCTCAGAACTTTCCTTCAAGCCACAATATTTAGACACACATTTTATATTATCTATAGACCAAAGCATCACAAAGTTTTCTGACAATTTTAAAGTCGCAAAGTTTGGTTCCCATTCACTTACACAAGTATGTACTCAATGTCTACCCTACACTAAGCATTGCTGGGAAAAGATAAACAAAAGACATGCTGTCCTCATCCGCTGATTGGAAAGAGTTTAGAATGAGGCTAGAAAAGATGTGAAAAGCAAATGGAGAACAGGAAAGACAGCAACTATGAGAAGAAGGTATTGGCAAGCAGCAGAAAGCCTGATAGAAGTAGGTATATACAATATTCCCAAATCTGTGCAGTCATGATTCTCTCCAATGTTTTAGCCTAGGAAAAAAAAGAGTGGTGGGAAGCCCAAAAGCAGCTGGGTTAAATCAGTGCGCTGCATCGTGCCAGACATGTATAAATAAAAGGTGAAAATGCTGCCAAAAAAATTACTGGAGTGAACATTGCAATGTGTATCCTCCAAACTTCATGCTGAAACTTAAGCCTCAATGCAACAGTATTAAGCAGTGGTGCTCTTTAGTGGGTGATTAGGCAACGAGGGTGAGATTAGGGCCTTATAAAAGGGCTGGAGGAAACAAGGCCTCTTTTGCCTTTGTGTGCACACCTCCAAGTGAGGACACAATGCTGAAGATGCCACCTGGTAAAGACTCTGGCCCTCACCAAACAACTCCACTGTACCTTGAACTTGAGCTTTCCACCCTCTACAACTGTGCGAAGTAATTCTGTCTCAGATATTGTTAGAGCTGAGTGAATGGACTAAAAAGAGGACAGCCAAGGGAATAGCAAATTTCAGCAAGACTAAAACTAGTCAGTAACAATAGTATTAATAAGTGCTTTCAAGTCAAGCTTACTATAGATTTCTTTTTCCACTTACTATTTTGTGCAATTTTCCATAAGACTGAAATCATTCCCCCCAAATTAAAAACAAAACAAAAACTGATCTGTTCTGACGTTCACCTCTCCCAACTTCCCCATAAGCATTTTCCCTACTTTCAGTCTTAAGATGTTGAGTATCTTTGCCATTTATATCTCCCACTTTTTATTACATTAAAGAGAACTGAGTTCTATACATTTTAATTTAGCAATATATTCTGAAGCTCAATTTTTAAAAGCAGGGCTATACAGGTCTAGAAAGGTAGCACAGTGTAAAATGATTAGACTGGGACTATGAAGAACTGAAAGCCTAAATCATCAAGATTACTTTTTCATTGGAGCTAGAATTAATTCCAGGCTGACCTGAAAGCCAGTATCCAAGATAATTTTATAAGAAAAATCAGTTTTCATTACGGAACAGAGAAATCCCTGAGCAATGTAACAATAAGATGTTATTTTAAAAATCATTTAGAGACACAAAATGATTCAAGTTTTCATTACCAAGTCATTATCATAACATAGAGCAAAATAGGAAGGATAAAACATTGTGGAAACAAAACAGTGGATCTTGATTAGCAAATGTCATTCTAAAGCTGGGAATGATGGCAAATGCAATGCTAGCAGAAGCAGGTTTTTCAGTTTGAGGCCAGCCTGAGCTACACATAGCAAGCTCAAGATTAGCTCAGACTGCCCAGAGATCTGATCTCAAAAAAAGGTCATTCTGGAGTACAATAATATAAAGAGCTTAAGAATCAATGCACTCTTTATTGTACAAAAAGGGTGAAGGTGCAGAGGGGCTGATTTGTACATTCCCCAAATTCATGTCTGACACCCTAAGACAAATGTGAGAGCACTTGGAAAGTGAAAGTGTGGGAGATAATTAGGTTTAGATAGAATCATGAGTGTTACTAATGCCCTTATTAGAGACAAGAGAGCTCACTGTGCCATGAGAAAACAACTGTAAGGAAGTGGCCATGTGCAGTAAGACAGCCTTCACCAGATGTGGACCATGCTGACATCCTTACCTCAGACTTTCAGTTTCTGAAACTTTGAGAAATAAATTCTTGTTTAAGTCACCTATAGTATTTTTATATGGCACCCTGAGCCGAATTAGGGATGGGTGAAGCTACTCATTCAGAAAACAGCATTTTATCAAAATTTAACTAAACTGTTTACTTAAAATTCAAAAAGCCAAACATTAATGCCTCTTCTAGTCCCCAGCCAAAGTCAAAAAACATAAATTTTAAACAAGTTGATTCACTTCCCTCCCTACCTGTGCTTTGTTTTTAAAACAGTATTAGTCTTTACAAACTTCCCCTTGAATAAATACAGATGAGAATATCAGATGTTTTAAGTGGGAAATCATTTTATGTTTAAAGAATGATGTCACAATATGAACGAGTCACCCCTCTACCTACAAGTTCCACATTCACAGATTCAACCAATTGTGGATGGAAAAATGTAACAATAAAGGTAAATTTAAAATGAATGAAGTGTAACAACAATTTGTTTAATATTTACATTGTTTTAGGAATTAGAAATAATCTAGAGATTCAAAGTTGTAGGAGAAAAAAGTTAGATGAGGATAAGCATAGGTTACATGCAAATATTTTACTTCTACATAAAGGACTTGGGCATTCAGATTTTGGTGTGGGAGAGTTGTGGAATCAATCCTCCTTACATCCTGAGGGATAATTAATATGACCTGAATAACCATTATGCTGGATGCTATTCTTTTCAATGTCTTTTGTCAGTAACTAAGATAAAGACTTGGAATGTAGGCATGGCGTACGAAATAACATATGTAAAAGAGTAGCGATATACTCAATGACTTTCTAAGAGTTAAAAAAAGTGCTGGAATGTTAGAATGAATTAAAGAATTACTAATGACACAGTCACAGTTTAAAACTGTATTTAAAAAAAAAAACAACACTATTTCATTACAGGATGCAGGGGTGGGCACCTGTCGTGCCAGCTACTGAGGAAACTGGTGGGATGGACTGCCTGGAGTTCAACACCAGCCTGAGCAATATAGGTAAGACTTGTCTCAAAATCAAAACAAAAACCAAAAACATCAAATTCCAAAAATGCAGAATATACAACCATCCTGTTCCAGTAGTATGACAACACTGTTTTATAAAACTTGTTGCTTTAATACAAATACAATACTGAACACAGACTTGAAATTGTAATGTTCCATTGAATTTTGCATTATACTATGTCAGGGTACCACCCTCAATTGCAGGTTTCATTAAGATAAGTATTAACAAACTAGCTGAATACAAAGAAAAAAAACTTTCCAACTGCTGTTATCCATAAATGGAAATAAATTACTTAAAAATAGAACTTAGCATTCTCTGTTTTCACAATTTGCCAGGCAACCTAAAGAGCTGTGAAATGATATGAAATTTCGGTGAAGCACAGAACCTGTGTCCAATGCCATGAAGTATGCTTCTAGAAGGGTGTATCTAGGAAATAAGTTTAGCTTTTTCTTCCCATCCAGATCCCTAGAGCCTTGTTTTTTGTTTTTCTGGGATGGGAGCAGATAATAACTAGTGGAAAGATACACAACTGTTTCTTTGCTTAAAAACAAAAAAATGTGAGGATTAATACTCAGGATATACAGACCCCCAAAGAATGAATAAAAGAACAAGTCCAATCAAAATGAGCAAAAGATTTAAATGGGTACTTCTCAAAAGAAATAAAATAGCAAATAAATATATGAAAAAATGCTTAACATCTTTGGCCACCAGGGAAATAAAATCAAAACTAGACTGTGATTCTATCTCACTCTAGACATACGGGCTATTATCAAATGGTAAAAAAAAAACAAAAAAAAAAAACTGCAGAGAATACGAAGAAAAGCTGGGCGTGGTGGCGCATGCCTGTAATCCCAGCACTCTGGAGTCTGAGGCAGGAGGATCACTTCTAGTTCGAGGCCAGCCTGGGCTACAAAGTAAGTTCAAGACCAGCCTAAAATGCATAGCGAGACCCTGTCTCAAAAAAAACAAAAACAACAACAACAAAAAACACCACCAGAGAAGAAAAAGGAAGAAAGAAAAAGGAACCTTTATACACTGTTGTGGGAATGTAAGTTAGTACAGCCACTATAGAAAAAAGTACAGAGCTTCCTGAAAAAACTAAAACGAACTACCATGTGATCTAGTTATACCACTACCGGGTATCTGTCTGAAAGAAATGAAGCCAGCATATACACATACATTTACTGATGTGAGCAATATAGTTAAGAGCTTGTCTCAAAAGCTTTTTTAAAAAGTTTATATGTATATATAAACATATATACATATATACAAATACTGAGTTTCCTCAGTAGCTGGGACGACAGGTGCCCACCACTGCATCCTGTAATGAAAGTTTTTTTTTTTAAATAGTTTTGAACTATGACTGTGTCATTAGTAATTCTTTAATTCATTCTAACATTCCAACACTTTTTTTTTAACTCTTAGAAAGTCATTGAGTATATCGCTACTCTTTCAAGTATGTTATTTCATATGCCATGCATGCCTTCCAAGTCTTTATCTTAGTTACTGACAAAATGTATGAGAGAATGGTATATGCATGTTTACTGTAGTATTATTCACAATAGCCAAGATATGGACTCAGCCTAAGTGCTGATTCAACAAATGACTAAAAAAAAAAAAAAAAAATACGCACACACACACCATGAAGTACTTTAGCCATAAAGAAGAATGAAATCATGTCAGTTTCATTTCCAGAGAGATAGATGGAACTGGTAGGCATCATGAAAGGACAGTGTTGCATGTTTTTCCTCCCACTTGTGGAAACTTAAAAGAATGAACAAAAGTGAGAATAAGGGAGCAAGAGAAATAAATAAATGAGGACAGGACTTGAAAGTAGGATTACTGAAGGCTGTAAAAAAAAAAAATGATGGGACAATAAAGTAAAAAGGTTCATCTACATTTATATCTTCATCTCATGAATGTTAACAATCTCTACAGAGACCTGACCATGAGCTGCACCTAAGCAAAAGCAAGGTAAGTCCTAGTCAAGAAATACTATAATTATTGCTTAGGTTAAGATGAATTGGTCAACTTCTAAGGCCTCTTTCACCTGTTAAAATCAATTGGTAATTTTAAAGTGTAGGATACATCAAATAGGTATTTAAAAATATATACGTACAAACTTTTTAAAACAGGTGCCGTGAAACAAGCCTGTAATGGGAGCTACTTGGGAAGGTGAGGCAGGAGAATGAAGAATCTGAACCTTCCCTTAGCAACACACTATCTCATAAACAATAACAAATTTTTAGCTTTAACACACTAATTGAACATACTTATGAGTAACAACGTGACACTTTAATATATGTGTATCGGAGTAATGGCATATCTATCACCTCAAACATTTACCTTTCTTTGTGTGGTGTACATCCAATGGTTCTAAGATTAATTTGCCGCTATAACAGTAAAGCTAAGAGTATCATTATATGTTGACTTACCTCTACTACAAATAGCATCAGAGCAAAACATTAAAAACTGTCATAGTTTTAAAAAAGTATAATATAAATAAATGTTAGAGAGTTCTTATCAGAATTACAGAAGGATATAGGTTATTCTTGGAAACTGAAACGTGTTAACTATCAGAAAAGCAACGTGGCTATCAAATCTTCTACACTGAAAAACATTGTTCTATTTGATGAGGTGAATGCCAAGACACCCTTGTTGGCAATTTATATTTTACCTGTTCATGCTACATAACTACGTTTCTTAAAATTCTGTTTAAAGTTCAGCTGTAACATTTAGTAGTTGAACAGCAATTGATACATCACTTTAATTTGAACAAACTCATTATTTCCTCACCTGTGGCTTACAATATCCAATTGAATACAACTGTAAGATTTAATAAATGTATGTGTATAAAGCTCTTAGAATAGCGTATAACAAGTAATAAGAATTTATTAAATGGTAATATTTTTAAAATACATTACAAATAAAACACAAAGCAAATAATTTTCTAGTCAACTTTATTTTTTGGAAAGCAATAATGTTAAGTTTGGATATTACACAGTTTTTCCCAAAATGCTCATCCAGCATCCATAATTATTCCACATCTTTTATCTAACTAAATGATTCTATTTAAAGGTTGGATTGTTTTTGTTTTCTGAGACAAGGTCTTGTCATGTAGTTCGAGCTGGCCTCAAACCAAGGCGATCCTCTTCCTCACCCTCCAGAGCTGAGATTACAGGCGTGTGCCCCCCATGCCTGGCGCAAGGTATGAAGAATCCCTTTCACCAAGTCATTAACTCCATTCCTCCAATGACATACGCTGGGTTTCAGACATATTAAACCTACCCCTTATTCCCACTTTCTACTTTCATTCTTTCCGTGTTCAAGCTGAATACAACTACAACTACAACTACATTTTCTTTCTGCTTTTCCTATCCCTGTTAAACAGTTCTTCATCATGAAAAGCACTTTCCCTGCCTCCAAAATGTTAAGAAAATTCTTGTCCGTAGTTGCTAGATATTTTATCTTTTTACAAGCTAAATCTGTATTGTGGTGGAAGCTACATAAGTTTCTATGTATTAAAACACAGAGATACACAAAAACTAATTTTCTTAATATAAATTTAAAAACATGTATCAATATAACTAATCTTCACCTGTCAAAAGCTTTCTTTCAATGTCTTTTTCCTGTTTTGAAACTAAAATTTCTCTATCAGCTCCATCTCCCCAACCAAATAATTCTGTGCCTCCCATATTGCTTCCTCAATTAAGATCTATAAATTTGAATCTAAAAATCAAAGTTACTTAAAATACAGACCAAGTTACAAGTGCCATATTGCCAAAACTCTAACTTTTCATTAAAACTACAAAATGGGATTTGAATATTGTATTAATTATAATTTTACTCATATATTCTCTAGTCCCTTTGACACTCAAATGATATATGTATTGTATTTATTATTTCACATTCACTAAAAGTAATAAGCTGCAATACCCATCTTTATAATATATTAGAAAATTCCCTACTTGCTTATGTACTTTTTTGTTCCTTAGCTCCTTTGGACAATTTCTCCAGTCTCCGGATTGTTTCTGAAGCTGTTCTAAACGTACCCTTACCATGTTTCCCCTAAGGCATCTTTCAGAGGAGCCACCGGCCTCCTTAAAGCCTCTGTGCAAATAGAAAAATACTTTCTTCTAGGAAGACACAGGTACTACTCTAGGTGAGGAGCTGTTACCTTGGAGGAAAGGGAAGAGGGGGTGGTAGTTTCTTGGGAGGCCTAAGGAAGGGGCACAGAACTCTGCAAACAGAACTCTGGCTGAATTTTAATTCTGGTTGCCTCATTCAGCTTGGTTGGTACCTTTGTGTGGTGCACAAACCACACAACCATATATAGCAGCCCTGTGGTTTCAGATTATCAACTGGGAAAGAGAGGAGAAGAACATCAAGTATCAGCTTCCCTAGGTAGCCGTTTCTCCATCACACAGGCAACCACTTCTTGCAGATTCAGTATTTATTTGGAGGGATTGTCCAAACTCATTGGAATCTATTTTCCCTTTAATTTTTCCTTTCCCCTGGTTCTCTTCTGCTTTTAAAGTTGGTCAAGACTCCATCTTGGTATCATGTGATATCCAGGGCTAGACCTAAGTTTTTAAACTTCACAAGCAACTCCACTTGCATATTCCACACACCTAAAAAGTGACGGTCTCACTATGTATCCCCCATCCCACCCCTTAAACCTTCATCCTCATTACTTGACCTGAATTATTTTAGGATTATCAAGGATCTCTCAAATTCAAAGGCTGCTTCTCATTTTTCTGAACTCTGCTACATTTGGCTCTGATAATCCAATATTCAGGTTAGTTTTTTCTGCCCCTATTTCTGTAGTGACTTCTCCACTTACTCATTCTCTTGCCAGACTACTCTAAACATCCTATTACACTTCTTCATCTAAATAAACCTCCTTCTTGGCAGTTCACCATGGAAATCGTTGTTTGAAGTATGTAGTTAAGACTCTAAGTTATATCTCTATTTCTGTAATGCTGCCATTTCTGTTTGATGAATCTATTCCATTCTAGACTTTCACCATTTCTGGCCTTCATTAACTGCAACTGTTGCCTGATTCTATGCAGCATTCATTTCTCTGTTTTTTTTTTTTTTTTTTTTTTTTTTGTCTTTTTGACACAGGGTCTTGCTATGCAGTTCAGGCTGGCCTTGAGCTCACTTTGTAGCACAGGCTGGTCTCAAACTTGCATTCATCCTCCTGCCACAGCCGCCCGAGTGCTGGGATTATACAGGCGTACGCCACCATGCCTGGCTCAGCATTCGTTTCTCATAGCAGTAATGTCCCAAAGGGTAGAATGTAAAGGACTGGTGATATATTAAGTGATTTTAAGTGCTATAAAAAGGAGCATTTAAGATTATATATTGATTTTAAAACATTAGAAGGGGGAGTTAATACCAAATAATCATGTAAATTTTTATTTTATATTCACTTAATTAAAAAACAGCAAGTTGAATTAGGGTAAAATATTAAGTAACAGACAAGATAGTTTGAAGGTAAAGCAAAAACTGTGACTGATTTTATTTGAAAAATACTGACCACTTAGAAACCCATAAATGTAAATACTAAGGCTCTGGGTCAATGATTAAATAAAATAATACACCTCCCAGATCTATCACAGTATAGAAAGACATAATCTCACCAAATATTCTTAGCTCAAGGCTTGGTAAAGTTTTCAACAAATATTAAAAATTACTGCCAGGCGTGGTGGTGTGCACCGTAATCCCCGCACTCGGGAGGCTGAGGCAGTAGGATTGTTGTAGGTTTGAGACAAGCCTGGGCTACAAAGTGAGCTCAAGGACAGCCTGAAGTGCATAGCAAGACCCTGTCTCAAAAAGACAAGAAAAAAAACCCAAAAAAACCAAAAAACCACAATTCTTTTCTGGCAGTACTTGGGCCTTGCTCACTCATGGCAAGCAATCTACCATGAGGCCATATTCTCAGCTCAAAAATTGTAACTCTGGATTTCTCTTAGTATCATGCCTTTATTTGTAACCAAGTAGGCACTCAATTGGTACAATAGAATACCTGTGTATGGATTTTCTGCACCAAATCTTCCTTACCTACCTACACACTTTTCACCTCAAAGGTGAAAACACCTGTTTTCAGCTTCTAACATGAATCCAAAGACCACACACACTATATGTATAGACACACACACACACGTTTGCACATACATACATTTTTTTGTGTGTGGTACTGAGGATCAAATTCAGGCCCTCATATATGCTAGGCAAAGGACTCTATCACCAAGTTATATCCCAGCCCCAAGGTAATTTTTAATATTAATCCTTAACGAACATCTGGTAGTGGTAACCAAAAACCATATGCCCTAATTCACTGGGACTTACAAACCTAGAAGAATCTTTAGTGTTTGTTGAGTACAACTAAAAATTAAGGAAAATATGATGCAACTAAATCTCACAATGTATATTATATAAACATAAATTCTTTCAAAGTTATCTGTAATACAATTCTAATGCCTAAATAACGGGCTGGAGATTGAAAAATGTCCCTTCACTGTAAGATACTTGTCAGTTAACCTCAATCATTCACCTGCTTTTATGTTTCTAACCCTACATCACTCAATAATGTCTCTACATATGCCAAGTGCATGCAAGGTGATGATGACATGCAAACAGTCTAGTAAAGAAAGACTAGTAAGGAAACATAGAAAGTAAACAAAAAATTAGTACATAACACACAACACACATAACAGCCAACACTGTTTCTTTACCAGAAATGTGCTCTACAAATGCTAACTACATCCCATCCTTCTTTTATGCTTAGTAACTAGCAACACCACAAAGGGGTGAGTACAACACAGGCAGAAATACTTGCAGATTCTTAAGGCAGTATACACCAATCGTGTCTGCAAAAGATACAAATTTTCTGTTGGAAGTTAATCCTCTCATTTGTCTCAAGTTCATCAGCAAATACACAAAGACCCTGGCTCAAAATGATATAATTGGGATTCCGCTAATGTAGATCAAAATAAGGACTAGGAATATAACTGGCAAAAAGGTAGTTTATACTTAGCTTTTGTGAGAGGAAAACACAACAGAAATTTAAGAAATTTTACAGAATACTTTGACCCACACAAAGATGTTCTGACTGATGTACCCATGGTATTATTGGGGAAATTAAAATGTAATGACTCGGAAAAGTAACACTAACTTTCAGACTTCTGAGCAACAATTAACTGATAAATTTTCACTGCATTCCCCTACTGAGAAAAGTGACAACTCTTACCGAAATGAAATTGTTAGTCGTAACTTAGACACAACTTTGGATCTCCTTTAAGAATATAGTCCCATACAAATTTATTTTACAATTTTTATCAATGATCAATTCTTGTTAACCATACTATGACATAAATAGCGTAAGTCACCTAACTGACCTACAAACTAAAGCAGTGCTAGGGGTACAGTCAAGGATGTAATATAAACTTCAGAGATATTTTACCAGAAAGGTAAAGGTAGAGAGGCGAGGGACTGGAGTGAAGCAGAAAATCTGCTTTTTCATTTTCAGCAAGATACTGTCTCAGTGTCACTACAGAGCATGAAAAAATCTTTTACAAGTAAAATCCAGTCGGTAAAGCCGGACGTGGTGGCGCACACCTGTAATCCCAGCACTGGGGAGGCTGAGGCAGAAGGATATTTTCGAGTTCCAGACCAGCCTGGGTTACAAAGTGAGCTCAAGGCCAGCCTGAACTGGATAGCGAGACCCCACCTCAAAAAGACAAAAAAAGGGCCAGGGATGTAGCTCAGTGGCACAAGTGCAATGTCCTGAGTTCCACTCTAGGTACAAAAAAAAGACAAAAAAAGTGAGCTCCAGGCCAGCCTGAACTGCATAGTGAGACCCTGTCTGAAAAGAGACAAAATAAATAAATAAATAAGTAAAATCCAGCAGGTCAAGAAAGGAAAAATTTATTTAAGTACCCCCCCAAAGATATATACCGTTCTGAAAATACAGATTACATACTGCTTTTAGAGTATTCTACCGATACAGGATTCTACTCCCTTGGCCCATTAGTTGGCTTTTTAAATGTACTAGGCACAGCAGTAAGTCCTTCACATATAATATCTGAAAGTTCCATACATAATAATCCTTAAAGAGATGCCATTACTTTCATTTCCATTTCACAGATGAGGAATTAACCTACCAGTAACATCTCAAAATTTAAAAGTTATACCTGTGGTAATACAGAGCTAAAGTTATTTCAAGCATTCACTGGACTTTAAACAGTAAAGGACACAAAAAGTTAGCTTCTATCCCAACCACAAAGTAGATGTAATCTATTCTTACACTTGCAACACTATAACCTTCATAGGCATCAACGTTCACATACTAAATACTGAAGTCAAGGTAAAGAAACACTATCAATAGTGCTGCATTTTACTCGGTTACTAAAGATTACAGAATTAGACGGAACAAGAAAGCCGTTCGATGATTTAGAGTACCCTTTTTTGGCGTTTTTAGACAATACGCCTGTGAATCCATATTCAGCACTGTACCACCAGTTCCTGCTGTGTGACCTTGGTCAACTTAATCTCTCAGATTTCATTTCCTCATCTGTAAAATGAGGACTCAGAGCACCTCCTTAAAAGACTTGCAGAAATTTCTGAAAAGATGATGTATACAAAGGACTTATTACTCTACCAACACAGGTTAACTAAGGAGGTAGAACAGCCACACAGAGAAGCTTATACTGCTCTCCCAATTTAAAAAGCCCGACTCTGAAAATTTCATGTTTAGAGAACTACTAAAGACAAAACTAAAATATAACCTATTCTGGATTTGGGGATATATCAATGCCTCTGGGGTGAGGCCCAAAGATGCTGCAGTACATCCGCGATACACACCTAAAAATGGCTCCACGAAAAGCAGGACCTTAATTACCAATGTAGGAGGTTAGACGTTTTTATTTTTAAGTGCTGGAGTTAGAGCTGGGGGGGGGGGCGGCTCTCAAACCACCCTAATATTTTCATTTGCAGGACTAACCTAACAAGCACTTAATCAAGAATTTTCCGATTCTTCTGGTGCATTCCAAATGAAAATTTTACAGCAGAGCCACCTACTGCACGATTCCAAGTACCCTGCCTGCCGAGGTACAGATCCACGAATCTAAGCCGAGGACTGGCCAATGCGGAAATCCGGGTAGCTCTACAAACCGGCCAACGTTAGGCACGTCGGTCACTCAAAGGATCTTTAAGTCAAGTCGTAACAAATATACGTTCCTTGAAAGTAATTACAAGGGCTCCTGCACAAAGTTAACAATCCTTCATTATCCCGGTCCTCCCTGGTCCCCGCGCCCTTTTCTTCCACGCCGAGGTGCGACCCTAACAGCAACAAGGCGAATGCCATCTTAGAAAGCGGGAGCAGCGCGGCGGGATTCACCCCGCAGCGAGGGGCCGCGGCGCGCGGCCGAGCGTGAGAAAGGGCCACCCAACGCTCCGCGCAGCGGGCCGCCAGTCCCTAGCGGAAGCAGGGCCGGTCCAGGCGCCCCGGGGGCCTCACCGAGCCGGGTCTTTAACCCAGGCTCCCGCTCTCCGCTGCGTTCAGGTCCGACCTCCCGACTCGCCCAGGCGGAGCCCCGGGCGGCCTGAGGGACGCAGCCTTCCCACGAGGGCCCCCGCCGCGGGGGAAC